TTATCGTACGGTCCTAAATACTTGTCAGCAAGCTTTATCCCTGGGCCTTGCTGAGTACGTTTAATGGCTACTAACTCTCCTTCACGATAATCTCTGGCCTTCTTCCTTCTTTTGTCGAATATTCGTCTATTCTCTTGCTGTACTTTGATGATGTTTTCCTTAGCGTTGGATCGTAACTCCTCTCGAGCGTCCTGGAAAGACTCAAGCCATTCCTTCTCTAGCATCTCCTTAATTTCTGGACAATCTTTTAGCCATGGATGTGTTCCGAAAAATACGCGGAACGGAGAGGTTCCTATACTCCTATGCGGTACTGTATTTAAGTATTGCTGTGCAACGTCCATAAATTTATGCCACTCCTGTGGCTTGGGAGCTGCTAGCTTGGTTAAAAGCGGTATGAGCGTTCTGTTGACTCGCTCAACCTGTCCGTTTCCTCTCGGTACTCCCGTTGTAATTAGGATATGCTCAATATTCTCTTCTCGGCAATACTCTTTAAACTCGTTGGACGTAAAAGCAGTACCTCTATCGGAAACAACTCCGCAGATTGCAGAAAATGGCTGCTTGTCTCCTCAGGCGCACCAGCACCTCTTGCGTACTCGTGGACTTTGTAGAGTACAGCCACACAAACTTGGAGAAGGCATCGACAACCACAAATATGTGCTTGTAGGATTTCTTCGTTGATGATAATGGTCCCAGATGATCGATATGTAACGTGTCCAATGGAACACTCCCCTTTTCGATAGAGTGAAGGAAACATTCCTGCCGCCCCTGCTTTCTCTCGGCTAAGATACATGCAAGACAGTTGCGCACAACTCTTTCGACTTTTTGTCGTAAACTCGGGATCCAATAATCGCTTTTCACCAGACTTTCGGTTTTGCCCACCGAAAAATGACCTCGTTCATGCGCCCGGCGAATAATCTGTGTCTGCATTTTTCCTGGTACCACAAGCTGCAAGTCACCGTCAGACTCCTTAAATAGCAGACCTCTTCGTAACACGTAGTCTCGCGCTTATCCACGATCAACCAAAACGCGAAGCCTCTTTACACCGTCGTCCTCTTCTTGTGCTCTTCTAAGTCTGGCTGTCAACCCGGCGTCCGATTCGTCGATCACCAAACATACTGGTAACGGATTGCGACTCAACGCATCGACATGCGTCATGCTCTTACCAGTTGTAAGCGTGAAAGCACGGCAATCAGTCACAATTTTGAATGTGATGCCCAGCAAACAAACACGAAATCTCCTTAGCGCCTTGATTATAGCCATGACCTCCAATTCGTAGCTCGTGTATTTAGCCTCAGCCGATGTCGTCTTTCCACTCGCATAATGAACAGGATGAAATAGGCCGTCCTCGTTGTTCCTCTGGAGCAATATTGCACCATATCCGAGCGCAGAAGCGTCCGTATGCAACTCCGTATCTGCTCCGACCCGGTACAGACTCAAGACAGGCCTCTCGCCCAGCGCCGCTTTCAGTCGCGCAAAAGCATTCCTCTCCGCCTCGCCGAAACGGAACTCCACGCCCGCTCTCAAAAGATTCGACAGCGGATATGCTATCGCGGAATAACCTAGAACAAACTTTCTAAAATAACCGCTCAAGCCCAAGAAACTCTGCACCTGCTTGACATTAGTAGGCTCCGGAAAACGCAGAACTGCTTCGGTCTTCCGATCGGATGGACGCACGAATCCTCCTTCAATGACGTGACCAAGGTACTCCACCTTAGTCTGAAGAAAACAACATTTCTTCCAGTTGATGTCCAGTCGCAACCTCAAGTACTCTCTTAAGTCTCTCAATGTCACCTTCGATATCACTCGATGGAATGATCAGATCGTCCATGTAGGCCAACACTACTCCTTCTCGTATGAGATCTCTAAAAATGAAATTAACAAATCTTTGAAAAACGGCTGGCGAATTACATAGACCGAACGGAACTCTCAGAAATTCATAGTGGCCGTCTGGTACGATAAAGGCAGTATACTTCCGACTCGACTCATCTATTCCTACGTGAAAGAATCCGTTTCTTAAGTCGAGCGTGGTAAACACTCGAGCACCTTGCAATAAGTCCAGTTGATCCTCTATCAACGGACGTAAAGGATATTGGTCTTTGAGAATCTTTTTATTGAGATGACGATAGTCCACGCACAATCTAGCCAAACCATCTTTCTTCCGCACAAGTACCACAGGGCTAGCATAGTCCGATACTGATGGCTGAATAATTCCCTCCGCGAGCCACTCGTCAATTTGCGCGTTAACCTCAGACCTCTCTGAAGGAGACAATCGCCTAGCCGATTGATAGATTGACTCCTCGTCCTTTAATATAAGCTTCATTTTAACGTCAGTTTCACATGCTTTATTCGGCCTATAATTCTCAACAAGATCTTGCAGTGTTTCTCGTTGCTCAACATCTTTCGCGCAAGTAACGTCCACATGATTTATTTCGAAATCCGTACTCGTCAATTCTATATTAAATATCTCTGGCGTCAAATCCTCGGCATCGCATACCGCACCGCATAACGGGCTAATTGTAATTTCTCCAACTTTAAAATTGACCTCAACGGTATCCAAGAAGTCAGTCCCTATCAACATCTGATGTCGTATTAGTGTGTCCGAAACGACTTGTATACACACGGGGTAAGCGTTCCCATCGATAACGATCTCGTTTTAAATCCTCCCAAGGTCATGTTGTTGTCCGATCCTACACCGCGGAACCGCGTTCCACCCGCTCGTAATTGTGGAGCACCTAATTTCACGTACTCGTCTGCACGCATTAATGTAAGATCACTTCCGGAATCTATCAAGGCTTTTATCTGACGACCCTGAATTGTAATGTCTTTGATGTATTTTTGATTCGTAAGTCGCGTCGCGGTATTACAATTTTTCGTATTCCCCGTTGACTTGGGACACCTCGATGCAATGTACCCTCGTCCGTTGCACGCGAAACACTTAGCACCTTGATCTTTAGTCGGGCAATTTACTGCCAAATGATCTCGCATACCACAATTGACGCAGCGTATAACGGTATCTGTAGCCTTTCTATTATTATTATCGACCTTTACGACGTTCCTTCCTCCTTTGTTCTGAGCACCGAATCCTCTGTCAAACTTTGCCTGATTTAACGTACCTCGTTCTCGGAGAGTCACCTTTTCAAAAACCTTCAGGAGTGCATCCACGGACTCAAATCCTTGGATGCGTGCTTGATTTTTAAGCGTCTCGTCCGGTATGCCGTCGACAATATACTCCAGCATTTCGTTACTGTCAATCGGAACCTGATTTCCCATAATGATCTTTTCATGCAGGTACTCATGGAACGTCTCGTCCCTCCTCCACACACGTTCCTCAAACTTCTTTTTCATAGCCACCTTGATTTGGCGACGCTGAAACATACTTCGTAATCCGCTGAGAAGGTCATCGAACGACATCCCGACATACTCCGGTCTAGAATGCAGCCACTCCAACGCTTTGCCCTTCAATCGCATACCGATTATCAATCGTGCCGATAGTCTTCTAGCTGATACGTCGTTTTTAATAACCGGATTTGACTTTCCCAGATTTCATAATTTGCCGATTTTCCGTCAAAATTGCTAAGTAGATCCGCAATAGCCGTCACATTTACTTTTGTTTGCACTAATCGAGTTCGCGCGGTATCATTATTATTATGCGTGATATTTTGATTCTCGTTAACCGCCGCACGTTCTCTCAACTGATTTCGCATGAATTCCATTTCGCGACGTGCTAATTCTAACTCGCGTTCCGCTAACTCTTTTTCTTTTCTACATAGTTCGATTTCGCGTTGTTACGCGGTAAAACTTTCCTGAGCATAGGAAGTATTAGCTCGTAGCATATTCTCCGCATCACGAGAATCGTTTTCATCGTCATTCATCCACTCCGGATCAGCTTCCATCAGGCGATTAATTAATTCGACTTTCATTCCCGCTGTCGAAAGATTGCGCTTCCTCAATATCTCCTTTAACGCTTCCACCGTATATTTATTCGCATCTCTCATAATGTCTGTCATTTACTGCTCAACGCACGAACTATATGCGAATATACACGTCACTTATTATGTCCTTGTGTCTTTGTCTCTGAGCAAATATCTTCACACACACACAACGCGCGGTACAGCTCACCTTGTTTTTTTGTCGCTAACACTTTGTCCGCCGTTATATAATACTTTCGAATTCCGGAATGTCTTAACGGCTCTCGTATCTCGGCACGAGCCCCCAAAATTATGTAGAAATTCTAATTAAAAGAATTCTCGAAGGATTTTTTATGTGTTTACAATAATTTATTTAGAAAAATGTATAATGATGTTTTTTTTAAAACGATTCAAATTAATATATAAGTCATTTGCGCTCGCGAATCGGTCTAACCAGTCCG